TAAACCAGGAGCCGGAGCCAGGAGCCTGTAGCTCCTTCCCGGTCTCCCATGCGTGCAGGGGCCAAAGGACTTGGGTCTTCTTCAGCTGTTTTCCCAAGTCAGCAGTCAGGAGCTGAATTTGGAAGCGGAGCAGCTGGGACTCAAACCAGTGTCCCATATGGGATACCGATGCCACACATGGAGTGTTAACCTGCAACGTCACTGCACCAGCCTCCCTAAGTATCCAAAAAGTTCCTATTATAGAAAACATATCCATGAACCCTAAGATTTTTGGCACTAAAATTATCTTTTAATTCACTTCTCACAAGCACTGTGGAGTCCCCTGGGATAACTTCTGAATTTTGTGGAGGAAAAGATGTTGGTTTGTGTGCATTGTACTTGATATGAAAAATGAGATGAGCAAGCTTTGATTTATGTATAAGGACAACTCTCAAATGAGACTGCACCCGGGGAGCTGAGGGGCAGGGAGTGCTTCCAGAAGGGGCTTTTTGTCCATGTCGCAGGAAAAGTGGTGAGACAAGTCCAGGGTCAAGTCCTGGGGTCGATGAAAGTTGAGGAGACCAGACACAATGGTGCGAGCTGAGAAAGTGAAATTTTTAGGTTAAGGACACATTTAGACAGACTTAGAGGGCCCGGCACGGTGGCCTAGTGGCTAAAATCCTCGCCTTGAAAGCGCCAGGATCCTATATGGGTGCTGGTTCTAATCCCAGTAGCCGCGCTTCCTATCCAGCTCCCTGCTTGTGGCCTGGGAAAGCAGTTGAGGACGGCCCAAAGCCTTGGGACCTGCACCATGTGGGAGACCTGAAGAAGTTCTGGAAGAAGTTCCTGGCTCCTGGCTTCAGATTGGCACAGCTCCGGCTGTTGCGCTCACTTGCAGAATGAATGGACAGACATCTTCCTCTCTGTCTTTCCTCCTCTCTGTATATAAACCCACTTGAAAAATAGGCCGCAGGGAACTAGCATTGTGATATGCGGGTTAAGCTGCTCTCTGCACTGCCACCCTCTCAGGTCAGAGCATGGTAGAGTTACACAGACAAAGCTAAAGATCTTCCATGTGCTGGTTCACTTCCCAGACCTCCACCCAAGCCTCCCAGCATGCTCATGTGCATTAGCAGGGAGCTGGATTAGAAGCAGAGCATCTGATCAGGGCACATATGGGATGTTGCATTGCAGGCAGAGGCTTAATGTACTGTGCGACAGCGCAGACCCCAGATCTCATTATTTTAATTAATTTATTTTTATTGCAAAGTCTGATGATTCACTCACCAAATGGCCACAATGGCTGGAGTTTCGCTGATCCGGAGCTGGGAGCCAGGAGTTCCCTCCAGGTCTCCCACACGGGTGCAGGTCCCAAGGCTCTGGGCCATCCTCAACTGCTTTCCCAGGCCACAAGCAGGGAGCTGGATGAGAAGTGGAGCTGCCGGGATTAGAACCAGCGCACATATGGGATCCCAGCGCGTTCAAGGCAAGGACTTTAGCCGCTAGGCCACGCCGCCGGCCGATCTGTTGTTTCTAGACGTCAGAGCCCTTTGGACCCTTTTTCACAGTCGAAAGTCCCTCAGCGACGGGGCGCGGGAAGCACCAACTTGATTCCCGCCCTTTTAGGCCGCGATGCGGGGTCTGAACCACTAGATGTGAGGAAGCCAACCAGCCAATCCGCACGAAGGAGGCGGAGCTTCCGGGGAGCCCTTTCCTGCTTCCTGATTGGGCGCTGCCCGGGGGCGGTGGGTGGGGTCAGAGGCGTGGCGGCAGGCAGAGGCGGCGTGCTCGCGCCCGTGCTCCCGGGAGCTGCGCGCGGCCGCGGCCGGCCCTCAGGCAGCGCACGGTGCTCGGGCCGCCTCAGGTAAGCTCGGCTCTGCCCCCGATGCTTCGCCTTCCTTCTTCGGATTCCCCTCAGCTTCTCGTCGCTCTTCAATGTTTCAGTTACTTCTGCGGCAGGCAGAGTTGCCGCGAGGAGGGCGAGCGGCCGAGGCGGCGAGGTGGTGCATCTGCTGGGTCGCTCCCCGCATGGCGCGGGCGGACGAAGAGCAGACTCTGCCACGGGCTCCCCCGGGCCGCTCGGGACGCCGGCCTCGGCTGTCTGAGTTTTCTTCTCTAGGGGACAGGGTGCCGGCGCGGAGACCCGGCCGCTCCATCTCAGATTCAGCGTTGGCGCTTGAGGAGGGAGCCAGGCAGTGGTGCTTCAAGCATTCCGGAGACCTGCCATTTTTTTTTTTTAAGATTTAAATATTTTTATTGGAAAGTCAGATAATACAGACAGGAGGGGGAGACTGAGACTCCTCAAGTGGCCGCAACGGCCGGGGCTGCCCACGGGGCGAGGGCCACAAGCAGCTGCACGGGAGCGGGGCCGCCGGGATTAGAACCTGCGCCCGTGTGCGATCCCGGCACATGCAAGGCGAGGACTTTGGCCACTACGATCCTCCCTGCAACTTCTGTGGGAGACCCAGTTGGGGTTCCTGGCCCTGGCCCTTCCAGACGTTTCTGGAAGGAACCAGCGGATGGCCAGTCTTTTGCCGTGCCTGCCTCCCTCTGTCATGCAGCCTTGCGAAGAAATAATTGTTCAAGATTCTTGTTGCTTTTTTCAAATTAGAAAAGTAGCATTTTTTTTTTATCGAAGCTCATTGCAATTTTTTAATTTATTTTTTATCTTTACTTAATTTACTTGAAAGGTAAAATTCCACCAAGATCTGCCATCTGCTGCTTCCCTCCCGAGTGGCAGGAGCAGCTCGCACTGGGCTGGGGAAGCCAGGAGTTTGTCCCAGGTCTCCGCTGTGGGTGCAGAGGTCCACGCACTTGGGGTGCTTTCACTGTGGGCTGTGGCGTGGCGTGTCCCTGCCTGTGTGCAGTCACCCCTCAAACGTGTCACGTCTGTGTGGAGAGCAGTTCCATTATCCTGGCATTCAGATGCCCGCGTCACAGGCAGCAGCTGAACCCCGCCACCTGTCGCCGGTGGCTTAGTGGCTGTCGTGTCTGCTTTCTGGGTCTCTTCCTTAGCCGCTTCATTCTGCTTTTCCATGTCCAGGCCCGTCCTCGGGCCTCCCTGAAGGCACAGCCTTTCTGTAAGACCCGGCTGTGAACCCGGAGGATCCCGTGTCTTCCTTTCCTGCCTGGAAGAGCTTTCTTGGGTTTTTGTCAGGAAGTTGGATTCCTGCACAGGTGTTTTCTGCGTGTGCCGGGATCGTTTTTGCCGTTCGTTCTGTGGACGCGATGGGGTCTGTTGATCAGTTGGCACGTGCTCAGCATCCCGGGGATAAGCCACAGAGGGATCTCAGATCCAGTTCCGTGGCCGTCTGCTCAACTGCTGCCATCTGAGCAGATGGGGCTTGGCTCTGTCCTTGTCTGGGTGTGGCTTCAGAATGATGCTGAGCTCAGAGGATTGGATCCCTGAGGATTTTGCCCGCTTCACCAAGGGTGGAGCTGGTGTTTGGGCAACCAGCCGCGGGCTTTTCCTTCCTGGACCATGTGAATGGCTGACAGGTGCTGGGTGCCCGGGACTGCTCTGTGTTTGCTGTGTCGTGGCTCTGTTCTGGAAGGCTGTATGTGTGCACACATGTATTTCTTTCTTTTTTTTTATTTTATTTCTTTTTTATTTTGATTTCAAAGTCATATACAGAGAGGAAGATCTTCTGTCTCATGATTCACTCCCCAAGTGACTGTAACTGCTGGAGCTGAGCCGATTCGAAGCTAGAAGCCAAGAACTGCCTCCAGGTCTCCCACGCAGGTGCAGGGTCCGGAGGCTTTGCACCACCTTCGGCTGTTTTCCCAGGCCACAAGCAGCGACCTGGATGGGAAGTGGGGCTGCTGGGATTAGAACCATATAGGATCCCCTATATGGGTTCCCAGTGTGTGCAAGGGAAGGACTTAGGCGCTCGGCTAGCGCACTGAGCCCGGGAATGCTTCTTTTTTAAAGAAAAGACTTATTTGTTGGTTTTTAGTACAAAGTCAGATATGCAGAGAGGAAGAGAGGCAAAGAGGAAGGTCTTCCGTCTGATCATTCACTCCCCAAGTGACTGCAATGGTTGGAGCTGAGCCAATTTGAAGCCAGGAGCAAGGAGCTTCTTCCACGTCTCCACGCGAGTGCAGGGTCCTTCTATGTAAATGCATTAAATAGCCAAAGAAAAGATTGCTTAGATTAAAACAGTTTAAGCTGTAAGAAACACATCTCATTTTATAGTGATACAGGACTCAACAAGAAATTACAATATCTACATATATCCACTGGTTCGCTGCCCACGTGGCCAGTGGGGAGTGAAAAAAGCCTTGGGACCCTGCACCACGTGGAAGATCTGGAGGAGCCTTCTGGCTCCTGGCTTCAGATCGGCTCAGCTCCAGCCATTGCAGCTACTTAGGGAGTGAATCAGCAGGTGGGAGAACTTTCCTTCTGTATATCTGCCTTTCCAATAAGAGTGAATTAAAAACAAACAAAAAAACTTTGAAAAGTAGTGCACATTTTAGCAGTACCTCTTTGAAGTTTCCCAGCCATGTTCATTGTTGGATCTGAAAATGAGCTGTTGGGTCACGTGGCACTCCCATTCCCTTTGCCTGAGGGACTTGAGTGCTGATTATAAAATTTCCCCTAGGACCAGTTTTGTGACAAACAGGTTTAGTCTCCACTTGCAGTACCAGCATCCCGTATGGGCGCCGGTTTGAGCCCAGTAGCTCCGACTCTATTTCAGCTCCCTGTATGTGGCCTGGGAAGACAGTGGAGCATGGGACTAGAGTTCAGTGGAGCAGGGGTTGGAAATGATGGGCTCATGGTCGCCATGTCCTGTCCGCAGGGCTTCAGAGAGGCACGCCCTGGTTCTCGGTGGCACAGCCTTAGCTTTCGGTCACCAAGTGATGACCAGCATTGGGCTCAGCTATAGACTCATCTCCACCCCTGGCAGAGCAGGAGCTGCTGGCTCTGAGGGGCGAACCTGGCTTTGCTCCGGCATGGCCCCAGGATGACTTTGCGAGGTGACATTCTCCTGGTTGTCTCTTTTCCCTGCATCTTCCTCAGGATGAAGCCGCGGTCCCCACCCACCCTCCTGAAGCTAGCCACGAAGCGCCTGATGAAGCTTGAGGCTTTGGCCCTGGCCACCGTGCCGAAGCTGCCCCCGCAGTTCTTCCCAACCCTGTTCTTAGAGGCCTATATTGGGAGGCACTCTGCGATCCTGAAGGCCGTGGTGCAGGCCTGGCCCTTCGCCTGCCTCCCTTTGGGAGCCCTGATGAGGACCCCTCATTTAAGGACCTTGATGACTGTGCTGGATGGACTTGAAGACCTGCTTACCGGGAAGGTTTGTCCCAGGTAAGGAGGGACCCTTGAGTCCGGGGGGGGGGATGGGACAGGCTGGGGCAGGGGCATAGGGTCAGAGCCAGAGGCATCGGACAGTGCCAGCAGGAGAGCTCAGAGAGGCCCTGACCGCACTGCTGAGCTCTATGAGGTAGATCTGGATGTGCAGCAGTTCTTCTATTTATTTTATTTTGTTTTTTATAATTTTTACATATTTGATTAGAATGCGGAAGGTGAAGGGCTAGAGGAAAGTGGGTGAGACCATTGTTTTGGTATTCTCCTTTTTTGTTGTTACTGTATCTGGGGGAGGGGAGAAGCCCCACCCAGCCTCCCAGCCATCCCAAGGTCCCCAGTTTTTGGCATGTTTCAAGGGTCCTGCTCTAGTGGCTTTGATAATTCAGCAGTTCTGAATTGCTGCCGATCTCACCACTCCTATCATGTTGAAATTTCTCCAGAATCCACTGGCTGACATAGTCCACCTTAGAGTCTCCGTTTCCCCGGGTATTTACTGCCAACTTTTAGCTGGGGTTGTTGATCAATTGTTCTGTCCTCTGTCCTCTGTTATGGTACCAGGCATCCTCGGCAGGCTCTGATGTACTGCCATATTCTCCGTGTGCATCTGGACATGCTGTCCACTGCTCCATCTGAGCCACTGAGGAGGCCCAGCTCTGACACATGCACTCCTCGCTCAGACCTTGAAACCTGCAATTCTCTCCATGGTGCAAGTTCTGAGTCTGGCGATTCAGTAGGAGGGGGTCTCAAAGACATCTCATCTGAAGTGATCTCAGACCTGGTTCTTGTGTGTGCATGTCAGTCTCGGGTCCGGCCCATTCCGTTGCCCAAATCTGCCTACACACACTGGTAATTGCAGTTGCTGAGTCAATTATGTCTCCAGCTCTCTGTTCTATGCACACTAATGGGTGTTGCAGTCTAGCCCAATCCAGCCCACCGCACATTTGGCCCTCATACAAAGCAATGGGAGTTGTAGCCTAGTTGGAGTGACCCGCAGGCCTACTCCTTGCCCTGCTTTCTGTTTGCCAGCATGTATGGTATACTGGTGCAGTCTGTCCCACATCTCATTCTGCTCTCATACATGTCAGTGGGCATTGAAGCCTAGGTCACCCCAACCAGCCAAACTATCCAGCCCACACATGCTGGTGGGTGCCCGTCAGCCATGCCTGCCCAGTTCTGGTTCCCATGCTCCCCAATCGGAGTGGCTACCCAAGAGGGAGGTACCCACTGTTTCCCTTCTGGGCCTACTTTCAGTCTCCAGTGGGTTCTGCAATTCAGCTTGACAGAATTAGCTGATGCTGCAGCAAAGCATTTACCAACCAACCCACACCTGCTCTGCCTTATGCATGTACCAGTAGGTATAGTCTGCCCAGCCTGGCTTTTCCTCAATCTAGCTTGCACACAGGCCAACAAGTGTTGTGACCCTGCCCAGCCTGGTCTGCCCCTGATCCCAGCTCTCACACTCACCAGTGGGAATAGTGGTCCAGCAGGGGAGCCCCACACAGTCACCCTACTGGGTTTGTCTGCTCCCCCCTGGGTCTCATGTGTGCTGGTTGGGTGCTATGGCCCATCCCCAATTCCATCTCATGCTGGTGGGGACTATAGCCTAGCCAGCCTAACCAGTCCCCACTCCTGGCCCTCATGTGAACTGGCTGGAATTGTGGCCTAATCTGGCATGACGCATACAACATTCTGGCTCTTGGATTTGCCAATGGGTGATATGACCTGGCCCATCCTGGCTCACCCCAGACCTGAGCCAAAGGTAAGTCTGTGGGTACCATAACCTGGCCTGGTCTGGGTTTCCCACTTTCTTGGTTCTTGCACTCACCTGCGGGGACTGTATCCTGACAGAGTAGTTCCCCAGGTTCCTCTTTTAGAACCTCTCCCAGTGCCAGATCTCGCTGGTGGGTCCATGGGCCAGCCCTACTCAGTCCACCTCCTGTCGTAGCAGGATCAATGGCCTTTCCTGACTAGCCCTCACCCTTTCTGGTTCTTACTGTTGGGTGCTACAACCCAGCCAAGCCTAGTTCACATCCAGACACAGCCACGCATGGCTCCGCAGGGGCAGAGATCTAGCCTAGCCTGTCCTACACCCACGCTGGTTCTCATGAGCACTAGTTGGTATTGGACTCTAGCCCAGTCTGGCATACCCCAGACCCAGTCCACACCCGTGCCAAGGGGCACTGTGTCAATTTCCAGGCCAGACTGCAGCTCCCATCCAGCCCTTGTGCTCACTAGTGGGAACCACAAGCCAGTTGGGGCGTCTGCTTAGCTCCCCAACCAGGCCTGCTCCCATCCACAGATCTCGTGCGTGCCAGTGCTTGCTCTGACCCATATTGGCATAGCCCCTCACTTGTCTTGGCCTTTGCCTTGGGATGCTGCAGCCTGTCTTGGCCTGGCCACCCCCCAGTCCCAACTCTTGCTGGCAGGTGCCACAACATGACCCTGCTCAGCCTGCTCCCATCACTGGCTCATGCAAACCGATAGGCGTGACAGTCCAGCCCAGCATGACCTGGATATGTAGCATTTCTTCAGCAACAACTGAAGCAGGGCATGTCTGCCTGCTCTCATTACTTCAGAATACCACCAGCAGTGGGGTTCCAGCCAGAGACAAATGTCAAGGGAAAACTGAGAGGAGGAAGGTGGAAGGGGCGGGGATGGGAGTGGCTGCGTAGGTTGGGAAGGTGGCTGCTTGTCTCAATTCCCAGACTTCCCCCTCTCCGCCCTTTTGACCTCACCCCCACAGGCCCGTGAAGCTGCAGGTGGTGGAGTTACGGGACATTCATCGTGACTTCTGGAACGTGTGGTTTGGGCGCCCGGATTCTCCCATTTGCCTGAAGGCCAAGCATCAGAGGCTGGTCCTGCAGCACGATCCGCGCCCACACGCAAGGAAGACCTTGAAGGTGTCCATTGAACTTTACCTCAAGGATGAAACCCTGGACAAGTTTCTGTCCCACCTGTTTCTGTGGGTGGAGGAGAGGAAAGGTTTGCTGCATGTGGTCTGTGAGAGGCTCCGCATCTTGGCCATGCCCATCCGAAACGTCAGCAAGGTGCTGAATTTCGTAGAACTAGACTCCATCCGGGAGGTGGAAGTGCTTTGCCCCTGGAAATTATCCACTTTGGCCAAGTTTGCTCCTTATCTGGGCCAGATGATCAATGTATGGAAGTTGCGTCTCTCACACATCCACGTGTCTGCCTCCATGACGGCACAGAGGAAGGAGGAGCTCATCAGCGAGTTCATCTCCCACTTCCACCATCTGGACTGCCTGCAGGAGCTCCATCTGGACTCCGTGTCCTTCCTTGAAGATCACCTCAAAGAGATGCTCAGGTGAGGCAGGGTGGTGGGGCACAGACACAGGCAAAACCTGCCTCAACCACATGGGCAGTTCCTTGGGTATCTCGCCATGTGCCAGTGGCTGGCGAGGCTGCCCAAGAAGCAAGTCCAAGACCTTGTTCACAGCTCAATCTGGAAGAAAGACTAAATGGGGCAGATGTAGAGGGAGAGGTCACGCTGGGAAAAGCCAGCTGTGATGAGCTTCGGATCTAGTGAGGTGGGATAGGAAGTCTTCAGGAAGATTCTAGAAAGTGATGAGGGCATTGGAGAAGGGAACCCACCAAATGAGTACATTTCAAAAATAGTTAGCCATCTGTTTCCCCTCTACCGACACTTGAGCAGGGGTGAGCGTGTGTCAAGCGCCCCGAGCCACCCAGCTTGGGGTTATTAACCTGTAAGGTGGGATTCTGGAGTGGAGAGCGAGCAACTGCGAAAGGCGACAGGTGGTTCTGGGGTCCCGGGCTGTGAGGCCTCCTGGAAGGGCACCCACAGGACTGTTGCTGCGCCTGGCCTGAACCTGAGCTTTATCCATGTCTCCCACTGGCCAAGCTCAGCCCAGACAAGTGGCACTCTGCTGGACAGGTGAGGAAAGGTACCTTGAGAGGTTTTATGAACTTGACCCAGTCCCTCCAGTGGCAGTGGGAGGACTCAGCCTGAGAGTGGTTAACTGGAAGGACGGGTCTGCACTGGGCTGGAGCACACTGGGTGTTGGTGAGGGTGGGCGTGAGTGGGATCCGGGGCTTTGGGGCTTGGCACAAACAGATGTCTCCCACGTTGGTGTCATGCTGCAGGACTCATTCTTGGTGTCTCCCCCAGGTGCCTGAGGAGCCCGCTGGAGGTCCTCTACATAACCGACTGCCAGCTCTCCGAAGCTGATGTCCGCTATCTGTCCCGGTGCCCAGACATCGGTGGGCTCAAATACCTGTGCCTCAGTGGGGTCGTACTGACCCGCTTCAGCCCCAGGTCCCTCCGAGTTCTGCTGGAGAGAGTGGCAGCCACCCTCAAGGTCCTCGAGCTGGAGAACTGTAGGATGATAGGCTCCCGGTTCAGAACCATCCTGCCTGCCCTGAGCCAGTGCTACCAGCTCACAAGGCTCAACTGCCTGCAGAACTACCTGCCCATGGCTGTGCTGAAGAGCCTGCTGCAACGCACCATCAGGCTGAAAAAGCTGCGCCTGGAGCTGTACCCCCTGCCGCTGGAGCTGTGCGGGATGCCAGTTGCCGAGTCCCGAAGGAGACTGGAGGAGTTCTGTGGTGAGCTGGTGGAGACGCTAACGCCATTCATACAAACCAAGAAAGTGTGGTTTGGCACCTTGCCCTGCCCCACCTGCAACAACCAGGCAATGTACGACATGCAGTCCAAACGGTGCCTCTGCTGTGTCCCCAGCTAGTTGGATGCGTGCTGTCACATCCTTCCTCCTGGCCACTTGGGGTGTGAATCATAGATCATTGGGGTATCTTGCAGCAAACATAGAATCTTGTTTCAGTGGGGAAAGGGAAGAAGCAGCAGTGGGCAGCGTCAGTCGAGGCTGCGCTGTCTTGGACTTAAGGGCCCTCGAGTTTCAAGTATCGATGTGCTTGGTTGCAAAGAAGCTGTCAGAAATAAAGCGATGCACCATGCAAACCTCAAGATGTGATCAGCTCACCTCATTTCTCAGTTTGGTTTCTTTCCCTAATGGAAAAGGTAGTCCTGGGGTGTCTGCCTAGTGAGGTTTGGGCCCAGAAACTGTGGGGTCAGCAAATAAAATGGGGCTACTATGACCATTTCCTCTCGTTCTAAGCTCAGCCCTGGCATGTCACCTCTTGCTTGTTTTTGTGGCCGCAGAGTGGGTCAGCACCCACAGGGCTTTTGGCCTTCAACGCGCGTCAGGGCCTGGCTTCGCAGAGGCCGGTTTGTTCGGGAATATTGGGAAGTTGCAGGACGTGTGAGCACAGAGGGGATGAAGGAAATGAGGCAGAGTGCAGGGTTCAGTGTGGTCACATTTTCGGGCTCTCCCAGCCTGATCAACCACCTGCCTGTCCGTGAAAGGAACGGACAGGTGAGTGCAGAAGACTGGCTTTGCCCTGCTCTCATCTTCCTTTTCCTCTAGCCTAGGGAGTCCCAAAGGCGACCCCTTCCCATCTATTGTCTGATTTTCTCATAGTGTCAGTCAAAGAGCTGCCTGGGTAGAAAGCACTCTGATTTTTTGCTTCCTTTAAGTATAGCCTGTTTGGGACCCAGCACAGTAGCCTAGTGGCCACCTGATATCAATCCAGGCCCCCAATGTGGAGCTTGTTCCTAGGGTTCTGCAGAAATGGTTTTGATAGTTCAATAGTTCTGAAATGCTTTTGATCTCACCGGGCCAAGGATGAGGAAATCTTCCAGAGCCCATTGGCTGACATCGTCAGCGTTAGAATCTCTGTTCACCCAGATATTTGCTGTCATTGCTTGGCTGGGGTAGTTGTCCAATTTGTTCTGCCCTCTGTCCTCTGCTATGGGACCAGGTGTCCTCTGCAGGCCGCAGTGACCTGCCATGTCCTTCATGTGGTAGGGCGTGCCGTCCCTGTTCTGTCTTTTCCACTGAGGAGCCCCAGCTCTCCATGTACTCCATGGTCAGTGCACCGATCCTGGACCCCCAAGACCACCCACCCCCCCAAGCGAGCTGCCCAGTGGCCCGTGGGCTTCGTCTGGCGCCATTGGCACCCCTAGCCACCTGACCCGGGCCTTCTGGACTCCTGCAAAAATAAATAAATCTTTTAAAATGTGTATATAGAGCCAGTTTCTACAAGACTCGAAGGATTTTGTAGCACCTAGACTGGCAGCATACACAACACAGAGCTCAGGGCTCTCATTAAAAGATTTATTTTTACTTCAAAGATGAGAGAATATACCTTGTAATAGTCTGGGAGTGCAAGGTGAGGACTTTAGCTGCTAGGCTATTGTTCTGGGCCCGAAGCATTATTTCGAGATTAATGTTTAGGACGTACTTTTCTAAAAAGTTCATTCACTGGGCCTGGCATGATAGAGTAGTGGTTAAAGTCCTCGCTTGCATGCGCCGGGATCCCAAATGGACGCAGGTTCTAATCCCGGAGGCCCCGCTTCCCATCCAGCTCCCTGCTTGTGGCCTGGGAAAAGCAGTTGAGGACAGCCCAAAACTTTGGGACCCTACACCCGCGTGGGAGACCTGGAAGAGATCCTGGCTCCTGGCTTCAGATCTGCTCAGCTCCAGCCATTGTGGCCACTTGGGGAGTGAACTGTTGGGCGGAAGATCTTCCTCTCTGTCTCTCCTCCCCTCTGTATATCTGACTTTCCAATAAAAATAAGTAAATCTTTTTAAAAATTCATTTACTGATTATTTGAAAGGCAGAGTTACAGAGGAGATAAGAGGGAGATATTCCGTCTGCTGAATTATTCCCCAAATTGCTACAATAGTCAGAGCTGAGCTATCTGAAGCTAGGGGCTCGGAGCTTCCTCCAGGTCTCCCACGCAGGTGCAGGGTTCCAAGGCTTGGGCCGTCCTCCACTGCTTTCCCAGGCCACAAACAGGAAGCGAGGTTGGAAATGAAATGACCATGATTAAAATTGGTGCCCACGTGGGGTGTTGGTACCTCAGGCACATGAATAGCATGCTGTGCCATCCGACCGGCCCCTCCTTACCTAACCTTAACAACCACACCAAATGCTAGCCCCAGAGTGGAATTTTGATGACATCTACCAATCAGTGAGGCCTCCCCTTGCAATGGTGCCATGGCATCACTGTTACAAGGAGGAGAGGGCAAAGTAAAGCTGTTAAATAAGAAAGGGATGCCTGGACGGGACACCAGGGCCACAGGTGGAGGATCAACTTGCTCTGCCAGAACACCAACCCTGAGGCTTCATTTTTAAGTTCTAGTTATTGACAGTTAACGCAGACTAAGATAAACCTGTTTTTTTTTTTTTTACTAATATTTATGTGAAATACTGTTCAGATTTCTTCTTGAGGTGGTGTCTGGCATTGTGGCTTAGTGAGTTAAGCTGACACTTGTGATACTGGCATCCATAGGAATCCTGGTTTGAGTCCCAGTTGCTCCACTTAAGATCCAGCTTCCCGCTAATGTACTTGCAATTGCAGAAAAAAAAAAGGTTCCAAAAGCCTGGGTGTCTGCACCCTGCCATGGGAGGCCTGGACGGAGCTTCTCACCCTTGGTCTTGCCATGGCCGACCCCAGCTGTTGAAGCCTTTTGGGGAGTGAACGTGTGCTTGGAGGGTCTCTTCTGTCTCCCCCTTTGTAACTCTGCCTTTCAAATACATGAACTCTTTTCTTACATATAAAAATCAATTTTTTTTTTATTGGATAGTCAGATACACACAGAGGAGGAGAGACAGAAAAAAAAGATCTTCCATCCTGCTAGTTCACTCCCCAAGTGACCACAATGGCTGCAGCACCAATCCAAAGCCAGGAGCCAGAAGCTTCTTCTGGGTCCCCCATGTGGTTGCAGCGTCCTAAGGCTTTGGGCCATCCTCGACTGCTTTCCCTACCACAGGCAGGGAGCTGGATGGGAAGCAGGGCTGCTGGGATTAGAACCGCCAACCATAAGGGATCCCGGCACATGCAAGGCGAGGACTTGAGCCGCCAGTCTACCATGCTGGGCCCATAAATGAAATCTTAAAAACAGAAAATTCCAGCATTGTGACAGAGTGTGTTAGACCCTCACTTGGTGCGACTTCCCGCTGGTTTAAGTCCCAGCTGCTCTGCTTCCCGCCCAGCTCCTTGCTAATGTGTTGCGGAGAGCAGAGCTCTGCTCTTGGCCTTGGCCTTGTCATGGCCGATCTCGATGGAATTCTTGGCTCCTGGCCCAGGCCTGGCTGTTTTAGCCAGTTGGAAGTGAAGTTAGAGGAATGGAATTCTGCAAAATTCCATCCCTCAGGGAACCCAAACACGACCCCTCCCGCTTGTGGACAAAGTGGGAGTGGGGCATTTCTCCTAAGGCTGGCGCTGGGCGGAGGGTCAGTGTGTCACAGATAAGGGGGGGAGAGGAGGGAGTAACTTCAGGGCTTTTCCTGCAGGTGTCCTGTTTAGTTCTGTGTTGAGCTGCGAGCCTGAGGACCAGCTGCTCACCAGAGGGGATAGAAGATCCTGTCCTTTTCAAATACACATTTATTTAGAAGTTGAGTTCCCCGTTCCCCAGCTTCCATTTTCCCAGCGAGGGAGCCTAAATTTGACCTTCAAGCACAGAACTTGGTATTTACCAAGATAAAAAGTGCCCTTGGTAAAGACCCTGCTGAGACCCTGAGGCCAGGAAAGACAGCTTCAAGCTAAGGCTTGTTATGTAAGCTAAGTCAGGGCCTGCTCCTTTGTGAAAAGTCTCCAGGGACTTTGTTTTCCCTTTGGGGCTTTGTAAGCTACCTGATTTTGTTTATCAGAGAATTTGGGGAATCAGATAAATGCCAGAAAGGCACATTTGTTCAGTGGGTATTGTATTCCATGGGCTGTTTCTTGAGCAAATGAGTCACTTCAGGCTGGAAGCTTGCAATGGCCCTTCCCAATCCCAGGTGCGGGTTTAGCACCCCGCTCCCCACAAAGTACCTTGCCACAGACCCCTGAGTTGTTCTAGATTGTTGGTTGGTTTTATGTGACTGATAACAACTTGAGCGTGGGTCCTGTCCACAGTTCAGGGGCCAGTTCTGTGGCTTAGCAGCTTAAGCTACTGCCTGCATCACAGGCATCCCTTAGGAATACTGGTTCAAGTACTGGCTACTTCACTTACGGTCCAGCTCCCTACTAATGTGTCTGGGAAAGCAGCGGATGGCCTGACTACTTGGGCCCCCACACCTCTTGAAGGAGACCCAAATGGAGCTCCAGGCTCCTGGTTTTGGTCTGGCTCCCTGGCCTGTTGTAAGCTCATGGAAGCTATCTCTCTATCTCTGCCTCTCCTCTTTGTAGCTGTCTTTCAAATGAATAAAATAAACTGTGTATATATATATATACTGTGTTTATATATGTTGCAGGATTTTTGACTCCGAGTATGGCAGCAACCTCAAATTCTTGTCTCGCAGGAAAGAAGAATTTTCATGCGGACACAGTTTAGTTTTAAAGCAAGATTTATTAGAAAGGCTGAGAAGACTCCCGTCCTAGCGACGGGAGGGGGTTTTGAGATAGAAGAGACCCTCACTCCCTGCCATAGTGGCAGGAGGAAAAGAACCCTAGTCCTCTGCCATAGCGGCAGGACAAGAAGCCAAACCCCAGTGCTCTGCCACAGTGGCAGAAAGAGAAGAACCCGTACCAATGGTGGGGAATGCACCTTTTAAAGGTTTCCCTCAAAGATGTTTCTCCATGAACAAAGAAAATTCCTGGTTTCCATGGTACCTGGCCTTGGGACAAAAGGCCACAGAGGTGCCAGACATAGGACATTCCAGGCCTTAGGCAAATGTG